AGTTGTTTAGTAAATACATAACGTAAGCCCTAGTATACAAGGGTTAGTTGAGTTGACCGGTCTGACTCGTTGACTTTATTTGACTTTGAATTGACCAGAATTTAACGGTTGTCACAGTGTTGTAGCCAACAAACCCTGGAGTATTCCAAATATGAGTTGAGGGTCGGGTAGTGCATGACAAACTCATACTGAGGACTCATGAGTATTCCAGATACAAGCTGAGGACCAGGCGGTATACCAGACTTATACTGAGGGCTTGATAGTATTTCAGTCCGATGACTGATCTGGTCAGGGAGCAAGCCAAACATAAGATGTGTGTAACATCTCGATGTTAAGGTACTTTAAATTTCAAGCCTTTAATTTATTTATATTGCAATTAGTCCTAAAGTTCAAGAATTATATGCAAATGAGCCTTAATAGCATTTTGGTATATATGGATTCGGAGTACGCCCTGCGTACGTTATGCTAAGCGTACTAGGGGATGCCCTAGTATGCTGGGTGTGCTTCCTAAATGGGGAAACCCTAATTTTTAGAGTTTGGCTAGTATTTAAGCATCCTTATGGCCTGATCACCTTCTTAGACTCCACCTTCTCATTCGTGTTGTAACCCTAGAGCCACCTTGTGAAACCATTTCAAGCCTTATGACTTGTTCCCGTGTTTTTTTGTAAATTCAATAAAGGAAAGGGAAGGAAAATATTGATAGAAAGAAAGGGAGGGGAAGGAAAATTTTATTTATTCTGTTTTCTTGAGTTTAGAGGAAATGAGAGGAAAATTTTAATTCTTTGTGTTCCCGAGTTAGGAGGGAAAAGAAAATAAACTTAAAGATTTTCATTTCCCTCTCTTTTGTAACACCATGACTCTCAGGTATAATTTTCTAAAGCCTTATATTCATTTTACTGAGGGGACTCGACGAGTTGGAGGCCCCAACTCATTGTATCGAACCTAGCTGGCCTGCGTGATTTATGATTCCTACTCGAAGGGTCGGTGGACTCCAACTCGATGATTAGAGTCTGTGCATAGAAACCCTAATTTTTAGGGTTTTCACCCTATTTAAAAGACCTTAAGTCCTTTCCTCCAACCCCTTACCACCTCTTGACGGCCAGAAGAAACCTTAACCAGCTGAGACCTTGTTCTTGAGTGTTTGTGAGGATTAAATAGTGCTTTTGGTGCATTTTGTGAAGAAGGCTTGAAGTATAAGGAGCTTGGATCAAAGAGAAGCTTGTGGATCTGACTCTACTTCATATTGGCATCATTATGAAGGTATAAAGTGGTTACTTTGACTTACCTTTAGCTAGATCTTTTCATGTTTAGGTTTAGATCCATTTATAGCATATTTGTGAGCCAATTCGGGTTTTGGGCATGATCTGAAGTTGTAACTTCAGATCTGGACTCCTCTTGGTCCTTATAGTCATAAAGTCATCAGATTTAGCAAGCATTGGCCCTTCTCTTAGGGTTACACCTTTCCCTTAGCTTGGTTTTGGCATTTAGGACCATACATGTACATAAAGTTTGCAACTTTATTTGGAAACCATGCCCTAGGAGGTTAGATCTACATTATGGAGCGTTGGGGTGGCTTAAAAACGTCTAGATAAGAAATGGATTTCATGAAATCGACGAGTCACATAGCCGAATCGGCGAGTCGGATGAAGATTGCCCGTATTTGATTCTACATGAACTCGGCGAGTATGTAAGAGGACTCGATGAGTCAGTTAGTTTCCCTAACATCTGGACACGCATGGACTTGACGAGTTGGTTGGAAACTCGGCGAGTCAATTAGGGTTTTGGTGATTTCTAAGTTCTTAAGGAACTCGACGAGTTGTTAGCTGCACACGACGAGTCGAGTCAACATAGATTGTTAACTTTGACCGTTGACTTTAACTTTGACCAAGGATTGACCAATTTGACTTCTGGGTGTATTTTGGTAATTTGGGAATTTATGGAAGTGGATCATTCGTGGATGTAGGTGTTGGAATTGGAGCTGCATTTGGTGGAGTTTAACTTTATCACTTTGAGCTACTTGTGAGGTGATTTCTTCTCACTATATCAACAGGGTCTAAGGCACTGAGGTCGGCCCTTTATGATTTGTATCCAGGCTATATGATGGTTGCCATGTTAGAGATCGATTAGATTAATATCCTGGTTATAGGATGGTTGTTATGTTAAAGATCGGTTAGATCAGTATCCTGGTTATAGGATGGTTGCTATGTTAGTGATCGGTCAGATCAGTATCCTGGTTATAGGATGGTTGCCATGATTAGTGATCTGTTAGATATGTATGACTATCTGTACTTTCTAACTAATGTATGATATGTATGTGCACATGTTTGTTGGTTTAGGGGATTGGGTTGAGGCATGTCTTGCTTTGTTTTATAGTCCAAGATACCCAGGGCGGACCGGATAAACTGCAGGCACGGTTAGGGCATACTAGTCAGGCCAAAGGCCCGACGAGCGGTTTAGATACGTTGAAGGCCCTAAGAGGCGGTCCAGATGTTCCAATTTCTCGGAGAGCGATCCAGATAGGCAGATGGATTGTGAGGCGATCCACTCAGACTGATGGCTCATTATGCATGTTGTATTTGTTTATATGATATGGTTATATCTATATAACGTTGGTATTTTGGGGGAACTCACTAAGCTTTGGGCTTACAGTTGTTGGTTTTGTTTCAGGTACTTCTAATGATCGCGGGAGGCGAAGGCGTGATCGTTCACCTCCTTATATTTTTATGATTTTGATTATGGGATACTCTAACACTAAACTATTTTGAAAACACGTTTTGTAATAATTATTGGTTTTAATTGGTTGAAAAGGTTTTAAATTTGGCATGGTTTTTATGGGTGTTACAACTTTCTTCTCAAATCCGCCCAATTTGGGAGGAAATTTTGGAAGGAAAATATGGCTACAAAATCATTTCTTTCCCCTTACATTCCTTCCATTAATGAAACTCGGGAACACGATTTTCCTTCAATATCTCTCACTTTCTCTCAATTTCCATCCATATCCCTCCTTAAGTAGAACTCGGGAATAAGGCGTTAAAGTGTGTGTTTGTGTGCTTAGAAGAAGAAGGAAGGAAGCCAAGATCATCTTTGGAGAGTGAGGCACTTTGGATCTGGGATTTACTCTTCATTTGCTACCCTTCATAGGTATAAAGTTTGCATCTTGATCTTTTAATATTGTAGATCTAGAAATGGGTGTTTTAGTGATACTTTTTGGTCCCAAATGTCTTATCTTAAGCATGGCATGTTATTGACGATTTGAGTTGTCCTCTCAGACCCTAGGAGGGGTCCTAAGCCAAAAAAAATGAAGTCTCATTGGTTAGTTTTGCTCCATGCATCTTGTAGAAGGCCTTAATGGATTAAGACCAGGGCCGATCCATTTAATTTCAATGCCCGGGGCAAGAAAGTAAAATAATGCCCTAACATTTCTAAACAAAATAATATAGGAAAAGCGAAATAAATTTTATAGTCAAACTAAATGATAGTTGTACAAACAAAAGCATACAAAGGGTGCCATTTTACATTTTTTGAAGAAAAATGTATGCTATTTATAAGCAAGACTTCATAGAAATTGACTTTCAATACTTCTTTCCAACGAAGTTAGCTATCCAAAAACAAAACCTATAAAAAAACATAAAATGATCTTGCATAAATGGAGAATCAACATCATATTTTCTAAAATCTGATACATCAAACTTTCAGAAATTAAAATAACTTATCAGATTTTGAGACATATTTGAATTTCATATACATCAGATTATTCAGAAAGAACATATCACATTATTTAGATATATAAAAAAAAAAAAAAAACTAATTAGTTGTTCAAAAATAGATTTCACATGACATCAGGATTTACATAACAGATTTTCAGAAATCTGATACATCATATTTTAAGAAATTAAAATAACTTATCAAGTTTTGATGTACATCATATCTTTATATACATCAAATTATTAAAAAAAAAACTATATTATATTATTAAAAAATACAAAATATCAAAACTTCAATACCAAAAACACATCATACTATTCAGAAAAAATAATTACTACAGAAATTTAAGAAAATTTCATTAGAAAAAACCTTATAAAAGTCAAAAGAAGTCGAAGGAAAAAATTACCTCAAAAACTTACCTGGAAAATTGCTTAGTGTAATCCAGGATCAACAACACTCCAAGTCTGCAATCTTGGATAAAAAAATTCACTTTTCCAATAAGCTATATAAAAAAATTGAAATTTCAAAAAATTTAACCAATACTTACTATCAGATTTTCGAAACATCAAGTATTTTTATGCAAGAAATTTGAAATACTAGAGAAAACTAACTAGATTAGGACCTTAGGAGGACGAATTCATTCAATCACTGTATCGCATCTTTGAATCTTCACTTTAAGTCTTTAGCACAACATAATTAGAGCAATAGATAAACTATTACTACAGTAGGGACGAGTCAGTAACGACGATTCAGGAAAGAGAGAAAGAAGAATATAAGAGAAGGCGAGAAGCGATCGATTTATCGAGAGAAAAAGAGAGAGTGCAAGAGAAGTGTTGAACTGCTGAAGCAGTGAAGCGGATGAGACAGTAGGGTAGTAGGCGATCGATGCAGAAAGATGCCTCGTATTCTTCATCTGCAATTATTAGATGTTTAGATCGAAGAGTCGGAATAGGTTGTAGTTGCCGCTATTAGGTCTCCTAGAATTTGTTGCCCTTACGTCTTGAACAGGATAGATCTTTACTGGACTAGTCTTAACATGGCCCAAATATACAATAATACCTATAAGAGGCTTTGAAAAATTGTTGCCCCATTAGAAATTGTTGCCCTGGGCCGTGGCCCAGCTCGCCCTGGGCTTGGGCCGACCCTGATTAAGATCTTGAGTTAAGCTCTTATTAGGCATGTAAAGTCATAAAGTTGGAGACTTTATGAATCTAGAGTATATTTTGGCCATGGATATGAAGTTAGGCTTGCGAGGGTGGGCTCCGTGCACCCTGTGTACGAGGTCAACCACCCTGATGGTGGTCAAGTGCGAGGGTTGGAGTACCCTCAACGTACCTCTGAAGTATGCCCCGCGTACTCGCACTGGGTTAACCCGGATGAGTTGACTCGGTTGGGTTGACTTAGTTAACTTGGTAGGTTTGACCGGTTGACTTTGACCAAGTTTGACCAATGAGGGTATTTTGAGATTTTTATGGAGTTAGTCTTTGGTGGGATTAGGTGTCGGTTAGAGAGCTAAGTTGCGGAGTCAAGGACCTTATCAAATTCTGTTAGTTTGCGAGGTGTGTCTTCCTTAATGTGGCGGGTGCAGGCACCGTCACTGCTCATCCTCCTCCCTGCAACTTCGGGCATTTGACCCGCTTATGGCCGATCTAGTTGCAGTGAAAAAAATCAAGCCCTTCGTGGGGTAGTCCCTGATGATATGACCCTGCTGGCCACATGCATAACATCCCGAGCCTGTGATACGACAAGCTCCACTGTGCACCCTACTGCACTTGGCACACCGGCCCCAACCCTGCTGTCCCCTGCCAGACGTGTCCAAGGTCTTAGGCTTTTTAGCCATACCTACTGCTGTCTGGGCCTGCTCGGGCTTCCGCTTCGTGCGGGAATCCAACTACATCTCTCTCTCACGGGCCTTCTCTACCATCTCATTCAGGGTTTTGCACCCTGTAAAACTCACAAACTCCCGGATATCATCCCTTGGCATTGAATAATATCAGGTTCATCTCATCTCCTCATCGGTAACATATTGTGGGATCAACAATGCTCGTTCCCAAAACTTGACGGTGATCTCCGCCACAGTCTCGGTGGTCTGCCGCAAATCATGAAACTCCTGCACCAGTCGTTGCACCTCAACGGGTGGTGCAAACTCCAAATCAAACCACTGAACAAACATGGCCCGTGATATCTCAGCCAACCCGGTTGGTCCAACCTGTATGGTAACCTCACCCCACCAATCTCGGGCTTGGTCCCTCGGCATGTAAGAAGCAGACATTGGTGACCAATCACAAATCGATGACTATGAAGGGTTTCTTGATCTTGGTTTCATGCAACAAGTTGTTCTTTCTGTTGTTCACTTAAATGTTGTCTATCTTGGTTCTTGTTTTGAGGGGGAGATTTCTCAAGAGGTTCATCAAGGACTAATTGTGATATTGACTCTGACAATGATCAACTCAATACTCGAAAGAAGAAGGGTTGCTTCTTAGGGGGGCTTATGAGTTTGAAGCTGGAAGCTTTTCTGCTATTGTTGGTGATCTTTCAGCATCACCTCCTAAAAAGAAAATCAAACTCATCTTTGATCTAAATGAATTAGCAAAAACATGGAGTTTACCCATTGAGGGAGTTAGCGAAATAATGGTAGAATATAATGCTACAGTTCATTAAAAGAAAGAAGAAAGAAAAGCATAACGTCTGTCTACCAAACTTGCTCAAGTTCTTGCCTCCGCTGATGAGAATGAAAATAATCAAAGCGCTGATAATCAAGTCAAGAAAATATTCAGTAATAATGTAGAGAAACAATACATTGTTTCAGATCTGAATGGTCAGATTGATAGGAAGAAGTTTGGAGATGTTCTTACTCGCAGGTCAAAGCCTGATCCTATCATAAAAGTGAGATGCACCAAATTGAGGAATAAGTCACTAAAGCTTCATTTAGTTAGAAAGAAAACAGAATATGAATACACTGAAGTTGCTTATGCTCATGAGCCAGTCAAATTTGGCTACAGTGAGTGGATGCAAATTCAAGGGATTATCGACAAGCACAAGGGTGTTCATGCTCAAGAAGTGAAGTTGGCAATATAGAAGCTACTCGACAAAGTCAAAAGGCTAAATCTTGTGCCATTGGTTGGTCCATCATCAGCTGGTCAATCAAGACCATCCTCCTCAGGCAGAACTGGTGCTCCCAGACAATCCAAAAATACCAAGTTTCTTCTTCCTTAGAAAAATCGGTATATCGACAATGAGTTACAGTGGGTGTTAAACCAGTCCAATATATGTTCATTCCAGAACTGGAGCATGGGATATTTTATCTTGGCAGTCAGAATCATATGTTCTTTCAACGCACTGATGAACTTCCTTCTGCTCCCATTGAACATTTGTGTAACATTCTAGATTTCGAGTCCAAAAATTTTCTTTTAAAAACAATACTAATTCATAGCGTTAAGTCATTCAAACATACAAAAAGGGTTTATATGAAAAATCTTAGTTTCATTTCCAAAACACTTGTTTAATTATCAGAGTAAACATCCCAGGCTAACTTGTCATGGTGTATGCACTGCAACCCTCCCGAGTTCCTCTTCTTAAAACTAAACACCTGAAACCAAAACTAAAAATTGTAAGCACGAAGCTTAGTGAGTTCCCCAACCTACCGCATACCATACATATCTATTGATCCATACATGTCATACATAACACTGAGCACATAACCACATACTGGGCTCCCACCTGCTACATTGGGCCTCGCCCGCTATCGGATACCGTCCGCCATCAGGCCCCTCCTGGCTTCGAGCCCCGCTCGGCGTACAAATCTGTTATCCTTAGGCCCCGCCCGCTAACATATAGTAGCATACAATCATATCACAACACATAACTAACATACTCTACTAGATTATTGTGCTAAGGCCTCACCCCTGTCCTGCTACTGATGAATCATGGAACCCCATCCATGCTCCTACTGACAGTGAGATACGGGCCCAGCCCACACTTACTCTTTTCCTTACTTGGGCCTCGCCCTTGCCCTACTGCTAATGAGGTATGGAACACTATTCATACTCTACTATTGGTGAGATACGGGACCTCGCCCACACTCACCTCCCTACCAGGCACATACATGTATCACACAGACAACAAGTATAACTATCATACAAACCATTCCTTGGGCACCCGCCCGCTAACATTGGACCTTAGTCCCGAATGTCATACTAGCATATTGTGCCTAGGGCTAACCCCTGGGTCTTCCTACTCATAACTACATGGGTTGGCATTGTGGCTGTAGACCCATTCACACAAAAGGAAACTCACCTGCACTGCTGAACATTGCTGATAACCCTTTGGCTGTTGTCCGACCACTCTCTGAATCGTTGTTCCACTAGCTCCCCGAGCTACTAATATCAATATAACACTTAGCTCCAAACTGAACTCTAGAAGTCAAACTAAGTCAACTCTGGTCAAAGTCAACCTTCCAGTTGACTTGACTCGCCGAGTCAACGCATAGACTCGCCGAGTTCTTAAACTCAGAAACTCTCAAAATACGACTCAAGTCGCTGAGTCACCCCAAGACTCATCGAGTTCAACGATCTCTAAGTGCCATCCTATCCAACTCACTGAGTCACCACTCAACTCACTGATCTGCGTCTTAACCATAAAAGGTTGAGGTTCTACGACCAAACTCGTCGAGTCCAAGAACAGACTCGCCGAGTCCAAGGAAATCTTCAACAGACTCGTCGAGTTGTTCTTCAACTTGCAGAGTCCATGCTCATGTTCATACAACTCACCGAGTACACCCATGTGACTCACCGAGTCTATTCAGCTCTCAGTCCATACAGCGGCTTTTCGAGCCATGTAGGGGCTCCAACCTATAAATTCACTCTTCTAAAGTCTAATCCCCACATAAAGTTGCAAACTTTACGTGAAACCAAGGAGCTAAAGGCCCAAAACACTCTAGGGCTAGGGTTTGAGACAAAAGGGCTTCACCACTAACTCATTGACTGCTGCTTTAAGACATTCTGGACCATCACAACCCTAGATATGAAGTAGCAACCTCAGATCTAAGTCCAAAACCCGAAATAGATCTTAATCTTACCAAAATAGCCCCAAAAACTCATTCAAGAAAAGATCTAGTTGCAATAAAGCCAAAGCAACAACTTATTACCTCAAGGATGACTTCCCACTGAAGAATAATCCAACTCTCTACAAATCCCCTTGCTCCAAGCTTCTTGATCTTCAATATCTCTTCACAAAACCCCCTTATCTAAGCTCCAAATTGCTTCCAATGACTCTCACTCACGATTTAGGGTTTCTGGATCTCGAAAAGGGAGTAAAGAGGATGGGGAAGGGATGTAATGTTCTTTAAATAGGGCACAACCCCCGGGGTTAGGGTTTTTCTCGTCCAGACCAGACTCACCGAGTCTAATAGTCGATTCGCCGAGTCGGTCACTTACTCTATGCCCCGGATCCCGCTCCGAATCGTCGAGTTCCTCCCTGGACTCGATGAGTTGACTCTTGACTTAGAGCTTTTCCTTTCTTTTCTTGGTCTTTCTGATTCTGGGTGTTACAACTCTCCCCCATATATATATATATATATATATATATATATATATATATATATATATATATATATATATATATAAACAAAACCCTAATTCTCCCATACAACTACTGACTAGACCGTTGGAGTCTCGTTCCAAGATCCCCTCCCAAACGACGACTAACGTCGACTCTTTTTTTGATGTGATTCTCAGGCTTAACCAGACGAAGCAATCTACAAACGGTGTTAAGCTCGGAAGCATATCACAACAGTTATGTTGGGGAGTTAACGATGGATCGGCACGAGAGTCAAGAGCCATATTACACGTGTTCAGTGTTAGATGTACACTATAGCCATTAACCTCTGGGATGAATAGACATGCACAAGAGTTGTTAGTCGTGACTAGATGTGAACGAGAGTCGTTAGTTGTAGTCAGTCGGATCAACATGAGAGTCGAGAGACTTGTTTGTTTGCGGATCGGCACTAGAGTTGAGAGCCTTTGTTTGTATGCATTGTATGTGTATTATGTCATGTGGTATTTTGGGGAAACTCACTAAGCCTTATGCTTAGAGTTGTGGATTAAATATTTTTTAGATATTTCATCAGATTGTGGGAAGGTCAATGTTCGACTGTACACACGCGCATCAACATTATGTTTTGAGACTTCCAAGTGACTATGTTATTTACTCTAATTCTGATACTTGGGCTTTCATGTTTATCAATGAGTCTTCTTATATGTGGATGAATGTTTGTGGAATAAATCGTTATTTTCTGAAAATGAAATTTTCGATTTGAAAAATAATACATTACATTTCATCTCCCACCTCTGGTTTTTCAACTCTGGTATTATGTTTCAATTCGACATGACATAACATATCTACAAGGTTTAAACTCTAACATGAAACAAGATATAAAAATAAATAGGTTGACATAACATGGCACGAAAATTAAATTGATCGACTAAAAGTCAAATATTCTCGACCCGTTTAATGTCTTCACGCTACACTTTTACCAAGTTATTCATTTTCATATGAAAAGAGTTTTATATTGTAGTTTTGATATATATATATATATATATATATATATATATATATATATATATATATATATATATATATATATATATATATGGGTTCAGGTTCATTTGAGATCATTCTAATTTTGTGAGACCGTGAGACCAAATCTAAAAATAATTTTAAAATGCAAAATAAATGGAAAAATCCAAAAATTCTTTTTTTAAATATTATTTTCGGAACTTGAATTAACTAAAAAAAATATAAAAAAAAATATAAAAAAATAAAAAATTAAAAAAAATTCCGTTTTTTTTTTTGAAAAATACGTGAAATATTCTAAATAGAATATTACACTGACATATTCTAAAAAATAATTTTAAAATGAAAAATAAATGGAAAAATCTAAAAAAAAATTTAAATATTATTTTCGGAACTTGAATTAACTAAAAAAAATAAAAAAAAATTAAAAAAAAATCTATTTTTTTTTAAAAATACGTGAAATATTCTAAATTGAATATTACATTGTACATATTCTAAAAATAATTTTAAAATGCAAAATAAATGAAAAAATCAAAAAAATTCTTTTTTTAAATATTATTTTCGGAACATGAATTAACTAAAAAAATAAAAAATAAATAAAAATAAATAAAAAAATGCGTCTCACGGTCTCACAAAATATAGGTGGTCTCAAATGAACCTAACCCTATATATATATATATATATATATATATATATATATATATATATATATATATATATATATATATATATATATATATATATATATATATATATATATATATATATAACCACTAATTTTTTACAAAGTGCGTAAATCATAATTCATTAGTCGAAAAAAATAATTTTACTAAGCTTTTGTTCAAAAAGCATTTGAACAGATGTAATTCCTTAGCTCATGTAGTAATTCACATATTTAGTATTTACAACTGTTTTTTCAAGCTTTACCGAGTTCATGTATATTTTTAATTTTTTTTATTATATTTTGATAAAACTAAATCAATATTAGCGTGATTTATGATTTTTATTTAAGATTTAGAATATTAAATAATAATATAGAACTTTAGATATGTGATTATCAATTATTAAAAGCAATAGTAAATGGCAAGTTCTTTAAATATTTATTTGTTTTAGTAGTTAATGGGGTAATTCTTTTGAGAAATTATAGAAAATATCAAAGAGACACTCATGATTATGGTTAGTGGAGCACTCTAGTATTAATATCCTTTTTCTAAATCAATGGCACTTGGAATTATATATATATATATATATATATATATATATATATATATATATATATATATATATATATATATATATAATATATATATATATATATAGTGTTAAGTTCAAATGAGAACACTATTTAATGTGAGAACGTGAGAACACTACTTTATGTTACTATTCTACTATAAATTTAATATGTATAATATTGTAGTAACTATAATATGAATATATCAATTTTATATTGCTATTCTACTATAAAATTGATATATATATATATATATATATATATATATATATAT